GTGCTCATTATGTAGAGATCACGTGACATCCCACCTGCGTGTCCTCTCACGTCACGTTTGCGTCAGGTAACTCCTTCAGGGATGTTGAAATGAGTGATTTGGGCTGAGGTGAGGGAGTGAGGAGAAGAATCTTTGTTTGGAAGGTCGTGTTACTATGAAGCTGAACAGTGGTGCTTTCAGACAAAGATGGCGATCTGCTTCCAAAACGTAGTCAGTGAAAGCCCCGTGGATCCCTGCATGTTGTCCCACACTCTTATTAGGAGGATGGCGCCACGCCGGGCATCATCCCCTTCCCTTGTCGTTGCGGTTGTCCTGTACAGTGTACAGGGATGCCTCTACAGCTGCTAACAACAGCAGTATTCATCCTATTGGGCCATTGGGAGAATGCACTAGAATGTTAGGTTCCAAAAGAGTACAGACACCTGTGGTCTCTTCCTGGCCAAATCACTACTTCCTGGAGCTCACTGTAGGATCAGCACTGCACTGTTAACTACAAGGTCATGGTTCAAACCCACCAGCAACACCACCACACTTGGCCTGGAGCTACAGGCTCTGCAGCGTCTACAGAGATGAGTCCTCGTGGAGGGGTCCCTGGTCCCATCCCACATCAGGAGCTGGTCTCGTCTTATGCTGAATTGGACCAAAGATTTACATTTGTTAAGTGCTGTCTTATTGGTTCCGACTCATAGCGACCCTGGGTAGGGTTTCCAAGGAGCAGCTGGTGGGTTTGAACTGCCGACCTTGTGGTTTGTAGTCCAGTGCTGATCCTAGAGCACTACCCCGGGAGTCAAGACTGCATTTATCAGAAGGTAATTGTTCCCTCCATATAAATCTCAAGCTATTGCTGTTAAGTGCTGTCGAGTTGGTTCCAGCTCATAACCGATTTCCGAGGAGCGGCTAGTGAGTTTGAACCACCAACTTTGTGGTTCAGCGCCACACCAGGACTGTGGACTGCACATAAAGCCTTCTTCCGTTGAGGCTCACAGACGAGTTAACTTGTGGCAGGTGGTTCCAGGCTGGGGACCAGAATGCAGACTGTGTACACAGGGCACCTGGGTAAGGATGGCAGTGTCCAGTCTGAGCCCCAACCGGTCTTCTAGACAGAAGGAAGGAAGGCCTGGACACAGACTCTATGGAGGTCATACAAACTTGACTGGTGCCTCCATCTTCCCATCATTGAAATGGGAGAACAGTGGCTGCTATTGGGAGTAGGTTGAGGTCATGTGCTTGGACTTCATAGGAAGCCAGGAGACCCATGATCCACAAGAAGAAGGCCCTTCCATGGAATTTGGGAAGGACCAGGAGTGACTGGTCCCCACTTCCTCCATGGAGTCCCCCTAGCTCGTCCCAATTGAATGCTGAGCCTGAGAGGCACCGGGCCCTGTGGTTGTGTTAGAAAATGTCACTGGGCAGAAGGTCAGATGTGGACAGAGAGACCAGCGAGTGAGTGGCCAGCAGGCCCGAGGCTGAGGCCCAAGACTGTCTTCTCCCTGTGTGGGGCAGCACGAAACTCCCCACCTGTGTCCCCCAGCATCCCTATGATGCCTCCAGTATAGCAAGCTCTCATTACACTCTTTTAATGAAACGTAATTACACTGGATTAAACAAAGCCAATTTTAGCTGCGAATCACCGTCCGTGTGCCACCTGCAACAGTTTGAGGCCACCACATCCTAGCCACCAAGGCCCTGGGCGCTGGGGAATGCAAGCTGATTTCCCATTAACCTGCGGGGACTCGAACCCAGAAGGCTAATTCTGCTATTTTTGGAAAATGGCAGACTGTGCTCCGCTTGAAATACAAAAGCTCTTTTGTGTCCTACCTACCATTGTTTCGCAGCTCTCGCACACAAATGGAAAGTCCAGGATGCCGATAATAATAATAATAGTTAGTAATAGCCAGCATCTAGTGAGGCTGGTAACATGCCAGTAAGTGGTACACACGTTAGACTCAATAGTCCACAAAAGGTTCCTAGTAGGAGGATGCTAAAGCTCAGAGGGGCTCAGCAGCTCATGAGATCACACAGCTAGTAGTAAGTGGTGGACTGGAATTTGAACCAAGGTAAATCCTGCTTTGGAGCCCACAACCTCAATCTCTGTACTGGAGGAGCCAAGAGCAAGATGAGAATTTGTGAGGGATAATGTCAGGTCTCCACCTGCCAGGGTGTCCTGTAGTGTCTTGCATGTGGCTGTGATGCTGGAGCAATGCTTCCAGTATTTCTAATACCAACAGTGTCACTCATGGTAGACAAGTTTCAGCAGAGCTTGTAGGCTAAGACTAGGAAGAAAGGCCTAGTTGATTGTAAGGGGGCTTCCAAAATGTCGTGAAAAAATGGAATAAAGAAAGACATTTTCCAGTGAACTTTTTGAAGCTATTGAGAACCGTATACATGAGTCACAACAGAAGATTAGTCACCAGGAGATAGAAGAGGGCATCGTGTTTGGGGAAGTAAGGGCCAGCAAGGGTGAGGAAGGCTGTCAGTGAGATGGGTTGGAACAGTAGCCGCAACACTGGACTTGACCGGGTCACCAGGAGGGGAACCATCTCGGCGGCAGCCATCTATCTGTAGCTCATGTCTGAGGGAGATGTGAGAGAGTGTGTTATGTGGAAAGGGACAAGCTAGCTAAGGAAAGTAAAAATCGGACAGTCATGTTGGAGAGACGTGGGTCAGGTACCGCCTGGACCCCCTCTCAGGGCCTGTCACCGCCTCTTGCTAAATCTGGGTTCAGCGCACACCAACTGCAATGGCCTCCGCCCCACCTGTGTCCCGGGACCAATCTCCTCAGGGGCCCTGGCACCAGGATGGAATCCCTGCCATGCCAGACGCCCCGCCAGCTCCTCTCCCCCATCTTAAAAGCCCCAACTCCCCCAATCAGTCGGCTCCCCTACCTCGCCAGCTGAGAACGCATGTGTTTTAAAGCTCTGAATGGGCCATTTCGGCTTGGAGTCCAGATGCATTTTTATATCCGCCTGGAAAAAAACGCAGCAGCTCTGCTGGCAATTGGAAAGAGTTTTTAAAATTAAAGTTACAAAATAAAAGGAACGAGAAAGTTTCCTGCACCTGGCCCTTCTGGGGAAGCATGGAGAAGAACAAAGCATGTTTGTCACTTGGCCACATGTCTGCTCGTTACCAGCTGTGCCATGTGAATCGTCTCTGCCTGCTGCCGGCCACCGTGCTCATTGCATTTAAGTCTCTCAGGCCCATTGTACAGATGAGCAAACTGAGGCTCAGAGTGGGACAGATGACTTACCCAAGGTCGAGCTGTGCTTGAGCAATTTTAGTCTGGAAAGAAGCCATCGGGACACCCACCTCCGCCCCTTTGCCCAGACTAGGTGTTACTTTCTGCCACCCGGGATGGGACGTGGAAACCACCGCCCCTGTTGCTCTCTGGTGGCCTCATGCCTAAAACGCCAGTCACCATCGCTTCCGTTTCCCCTGATGGTGACCCATACATGTGTCAGGGTAGAACTCTGTTCCACAGGGTTTCTAACAGCTAGTTTTTCAGACGTAGGTTGCCAGGCCTTTCTTCTGAGGTGCCTCTGAGTGGTGTGCTTGAGCCTCTAACCAGCGTGGTAACTGTTTTACAGGAGCAGGTGTCTGAGCCTTTTCTCCCATGGAGCCGCTGGATGGGTTTGAACTGCCAGGCAGCAGGACTCCTTAAAGCCAGCTCTTCCCTGAGCCCTGTGCGCCGAGAGAATGGAATTGTCAATGGGACCAGGAAAACTAGAAGCACTAAACTGACGTTTAGTCAGAGAGCTGACTACATGCCCCATGCTGTTCCTTCTAAACACTCTGTCTGCTCCCTCGCCGTCTTCATTTCACTAGAGCCTTTAGACTGGAATGCTATTGAGACACCCATTTCATAGATAACTACTTGAGGCAGGAGAACGGAGATAACTTGCACAAGGTTTGGGGGAAGGGCAGCAGCCCCTGAGTCCAGACCACTAACATCCTCACCAATCGAGCCTATTGAGTTGGAATGACTTCCTCACGCAGTGCCAGCTAGCTTGAGACTGAAGCATGGTTGTTAAGTGCTGCTGAGTCGGTTCCAACTCATAGCAACCCTGTATAGAGTTTTTGCGGAGCGGCTGGTGAGTTTGAACTGCTGACTTTGTGGTTCAAACTGACCTTGCAGTCCAGAACTTACCCATAGCGCCCTGCCAGGATGGTTAAGCTATGGCAAAAGACCGTGTAGTAAAGCACTTCATTGAGCCAAGGTGTCCAGGAGACAAGAAATAAATTAGTGGTTGTAGAGACTTGCAGGCAGCAAGGGGCTTGGAGTTCATGGTATGTAAGGATAACCATTTGCTGTTGGGTTGATTCCAACTCATGGCCAACCCAAGCACCTCCAGTGGGCTTGAACCGACATTAGCAGCCGACCAACCCTTTGTTTGGACGATCAGGGACAAAGGGATGCAGGTTTCTTTGGGGGTGGCGAGAACATTCTCAAGTTGATAGTACCAGTGGTTACACATCTCTGAATAGACTCAACTCCACTGAGGAGAGGACTTCAGGGGGGGAGAGGCATGTGGGTGTGTGTATTTACGCGCAAGAGAAAGGAAACAACAGCTGAGTTGGGGGACAGAAAAGGGTGACCTCAGAGGAGCACCGCTGGCAGCCAAGAGAGCGAGGAGGCCAGTGCGGAGGCAGAGGTAGCTTGGCCCAGGATGCCAGTGTTGGAAACAGAGAAGGGGACGGATCCAGGGAGGTGGGGACAGATTCACTTGGGCCAGAGAAGGAGTGAAATGAGGGGTTCTGTGGTTGTCAGTGGATGTGGCGGCCACTGTCCTCCAGGGGAAGTGCACTCCACTAATAGGCTTCAGCAGGGGAAGTAAGAGGCCCACTCTGGCCCAAGCACCAATTACAAGCCTGGCCAGCAGCTCTGTTAACTGCCTCATCACTGGCAGCTCTCTCCCTGGGAAGGTAACCCATTAATTAAGTGAATGTACCCCACACTCTGCAGTTCCGTTTTAGCTGATCCACTCTTATTTCTTGTCCCGCAGAAAGCCTTCAATGCCCTGTGTCACAGTACTCACCTCTACGGCCGGAGGCTGGTCCTGGAGTGGGCAGACACCGAGGTGACGGTGCAGGCCCTGAGGCGAAAGACAGCTGAGCGCTTTCACGGTAAGGATGGGAATCCTCCTGCCGATCTTGCGTCCCTCAGCAGTGGAGTGAGCCTGTCTTTGAACCGCCTGGGTGATTCATGGGCCTTCTAGGGAGCCAGGAGGACACGGTTCAACTCGATGGACCAGGGCGCCCCTGTGCTGGGTGGCCCCCACCAGCCCCTCCAAGTCTGTCCCCCATCCTTCTCTCACTGGTTCTGCCCTTGGAGAGGATGGCATCATTGCCCCCACCCATCCCACCAGCAGCTGAGGGCCAAGTAGGGGGAGGGGGACGGGGACGGCCGTCAGTGAGTCTGAGATGGAACCCAAAGCCTTGAAGGGCTTCTTCCCTGCCCCAGCCTAAGTGGATGGGTCCTTTTTGGAGATAGGAGCTCTCTGGTAGGGTCTCAGCAGACTTGTTAGCTGCAGTTGGTTGGACTATTACAGGCTATTGTGAACCAGAGGGTTTTTCTTGGAAGCAGATCACCAGGCCTTTCTTCATAGTCTTATCTTTGTCTGGAAGTTCTGTTGAAACCTATTCAGAAACATAGCAATACTCAACTCTGTGCTGACAGAAGGGAGGTGGCTGATTGTCTGGAAACTGAACCCTGGTCTCCCGCATAAAGATAAGGATTCTCCCTGTCCCTGAGATGCAGTATTCTTGGGGTACAATAGGATGCTGCAAGGCTGCACCCCATGAGCATGCCCAGGGCTTCAGGATCCCCCTCCAGAGGCAGGTTGGAAGCAGAATGACCTCTGCCCACCGGCATTCTTCCCAGCAGGACCCCTTGTCCTCACAGTGCTCACAATTGTCAGTCCCTGTGAACAGGAGAATGGGACTCGGTGTGTCTGTATATGCTGTTCCCTCTGCTTAGCATGTGTCGCTCTCTTCTGTGTTTTTAATAGACTGTATTTTGTAGAGTGGTTTTAGGTTTACAGAAAGTACAGACAGTTCCCACCTGCCTCCCTCAGTGGTTCACATGTTGTAACCCATTGATAACATGATTTACAATTGACGAGCCAATATACATGCATCTTTAGCGGCTCAAGTCCGTCGTGGAGTTTGGGCTCACTGTTTGTGTTGCGTAGTCCCAGGGGTGCGGTGATGATTGCATAATGTCACGTGTCCACCATGACAGTATTGTGTTGAACAGTATTTCACGGCACTGATGTTTTTGTTTTTGAACTTGGTGAATGCCTGTCCAGCCTTCTCCGCTCTGTTCTCAAATGACACCTCCTCCAAAAGCCTTCTCAGCTCTGCTCTTCATCTCTGTTGATGTACTTTTTTGCTACACATGGGACTGTAAACCACACGGTTGGTGGTTCAAACCCACCCGCCACTCCTTGGACACCCTATCCAGGGTTGCTATGAGTCGGAACCCACTTGAGGCACTTAATAACAAGCTGGTTTCTCAGTGGTCTGTTGTCTGAGTTGGACTGATGCCTCCTCCAGTTGGGCGCTCAGTCGCTGGGTTGGGCTTCCGTGCCAGGCGCAATGTCAAGCACGTGTCAAACCCTCAGGTCAGAAACAAGAGCTTAACCACAGCGTTTGGAGCTTACAACTCAGTAAGGCCCCAGATCCTGATGCTCAGAAAAAGAGCTCATCGCTATCGACAGCCCCGTTGACAGGCCCGGATGCACTCATCAGCTAATGTTTGTGTAAGGGACTCTCCCCAGAGCCTGAGGAGGTGGGCAGCGGCTGCCGTGCCCCCCTTCTTACCCCCAGAAAACCTTAGTAGAGGAGTGCAGGCCCAGCAGTTCTGCCCGTCCTTGGAGAACAGCTCCCCTTCAATAAATTGAGTTTCAGAAACAGCATCAGTACCTCCCCCAGAGGAAGAGTTATGAGGGACCACAGCCACTTTCGAGCTCCAGACAGGGGAACAGTCATCACACAGTACAACCAACAACTTATATGCACCCCACTTGCATACATTTTCCTGGTGATCCCCAGAAGCCCATTTTACAGATGAGGGAATCAAGGCCAACCAAGACTGGTGACTAGTGACCGCTACTGTGGATTGTGTGCCAGGCTTGTGCTGTTCCCAGGTGACCTCACAACAGCCCTAGCCACCCTCAGCACTCAGCCCTTCCCCACCTGCAGGGGAAGACATGGGGTGGGCACCCACACTCAGGGGATTGGGGAGATAATGCAGGTGCTCAGAGAACCTGGTTCCCGCCCCCCTCCCCCACCACATTGTCCATCAGACCTGGCGGCTGCACCTTCCCACCTCTGCCACTTCCCCACGGTGAAAACGACCCAGCTCGTTTGTGTCGAAATCCAAATTGTCCAGCGCTGCCAGGGTCCTGGCAGACGCCAGGGTAGGTGGGCTGCATGCCCAGCTCCCTCCCACGCCTCTGGCCTTAGCCCTGAACTCTGCCAGCAAGGCACTCAGGTCTTCGATGGGAGCCAAGGCCGTGACAAAGGCCTCCCGGCAGAATGTGGGCCCCAGAATGCAAAGCAGGCACTTTAACCATTCAGCAAGGCTTGGCAGGAAGCTTGCTGGTGACACCGTGGCCTTGGAGCTGCCCTCTGGGAGAGTGGACAAGGCAGAGCTCATTGTGGCCTCTACAATCAGCACTGTGTTCCAGAGGCGCTCTACCGACCACCCACCTGGGAAAGGTTGCTCAGACAGCCTCCTTTCTCCTCCTGTTCTCTTTGCCGTCCCGAAGCCCTGTTCAAACTGAAGTCAAGGTCAGCAGTAGTTCATGGTGGTTCTTCTCATTCTCCCAGCCTTCATCTGCCAAGCCTGACTGCATGCCAGGTCTTCTCCATGGGCTCTCATGCTTAGACATTAATGTTGCAGAGACCCATCCTCCTCCTCTGTCTTAACAGATGAGGAAACTAAGGCCCAGAGAAGGCCAGACACTGGCCCAGGGGCAGCCAGCACCTCTGAGTGGCAGACTCAATATTCAGATCTGTGCTGTTAGCCATCCTCCAGGACTGAATCCTTGTTACAGCTAGTGTGTGCAGCTACCCCTGAAGGTGACACCCTTGGCCAGGTGACTCAGCTTCACCTTGATCACCTAGGACTGTGGTGCCCTCCTCTTAGGGACTGTGATAAGCCAGCTCTGGCGCACAGTGGATGCTCGGCAAACGCTATTATGTGGTCGGCATCGATACTGTTACTCTCCCAGCTCTCTTCAAGGCACAGGGTTTCTTCCTCGTGTGAGTTACTAACACCGTCCCCACTGTCCCTGCCCTTGGTCAGGGTACACTATAGAGCTCTTAGACGTGAAGAAGAAGGACTCTGTTTGTATCCCTGGGCAGTAGCGTGCGTCTGTACATGTGAACGAGGCAGAGAGGAGAAGCAAAGTGAGTATACCTGACCCAGAGTCAGCAAGGTCGATTCTGGGTCCGAGTGAGTGAGCACAGGTGTTACAGAGTAGAACTGCTCCATAGGGTTTTCTTCACTGTCATCGTCACAGAGGCAGAACGCCAGGCCTTTCTTCCGCAGCCCAGCAGGCTCAGCTCGAACCACCAAGCTTTCAATTTGTAGTCGCGCACCTGAACCAGTTAAGCTGATTCTACTCAAGGTGACCTCACGCGTGCAGACTATAACTGCGCTGTGTTGGGTTTTCAAGGCTGTGACCTTTTGTTAAGTCGATCACCAGACCTTTCTCTCAAGGTGCCTCTTGGTCAGCAGCTGAGCCCGTAACCAGTTGCACACTGCAGGGACTCCCGCTTGGTGAGTAGTAGGATTGGTGATGTTGATGAAAATGATTTGGTAGTAAACTGGAGCTGCAGTGAGACCTCGTCATACTCAGAATCAGTGTGGGCTTGCCATGTATCTAGGTTTCTTTATGGGCTTAAGTCTCCTAGTCCCCCTTCCCTGACCCTCTCTTGTGTCCACTGCCCCCACCCCTACACACACATGACTGCAGGATTTTCTGTTTTCCCTCAGAGTGGATAGTTAGCTCAAGACTTGCCCAATTCAGCAGCCAAAGGCAGGTCTTGGGAAGCCCAGAGTAGGCAAAGAAAGACCGACCCTGAACCAAACCAGACAGGAGCTTTGGAAGGGGACAGGCAAGATGGTGTCTCCACAAAATCACCCTTCCACCTTGGCCCTGCTCCATCTAGTCCCGTCCCCCCGTCCTCCCCCCAACACACACACCTCCTTCCCTTCCTCCCTCTTGAACCAGAATCTGAATTCTCATCTCAGACTGGTCTCACTGCCCCAAGTAGGTGAAGTGCCATTCTTCGAATACGTGGGAGGGTGAAAAGAGACAGGAGGGAAGAAAGCAGAAAGTCTGCCGCTGGCTGTGTCCCTTTCTTCCTGAGCGTGTTACAAACCAGCAGGGTTGCGGCATCGAGAAGCTTTCAGGAGCCCGGCAGGCCACAGTACCCGCGCGTGCGGCCTGCAGAATATAATGGCGCGGCAGAAATCCGGCCGCAGAACCCTCTGTTTGGCAGCGCTCACAGCCAGGGAGGCCTGAGCAAGCTGGCTTTTCTTTGGCCGGAAGCGTGGCTCTGCTTCCCCGTGTTGTCTTATTCCAGCTGGGGAGGACTGATGGGCTGTGGTTAGCGTCTGTACCTTTCACCTCCGGAGCTGGGAACGCGGACATGACCGGCATGGCAAGTGGCTGGCAGTAGCGCTGTCTCCCTCCTGCCTGCCCGAGCCGGCCCAGCCACAGAGAAGCTCTGCACAGGGACAAGCGGGCACGGTGCACTCGGCCACCTACCTCCAGTGCCCGGCAAAGCCCAGAGGGAGGCTAATGGCTGGAGACCTCATCCGGAAGCCTAGCACCTGCCCCCTGGCCTTCCGGTCTCAGCTAGATGTAAACTCGCCCCGGTCTGACCCTCGCCAGTTCTTTCTGGAACGTTGTACTTCCTGCTAGATTTTTATTGTGACTTGCTGAATCTCATGTAGCTGGCTCCCCCTCCCTCTCTTGAAGAGCTTCATATTCTAGACTTGGCATCACTACATCTGCCCCCACAATAGACAGTCCTCTGCTTTACTCCTGTCTCCATTCATTCATTTATTCATTTAGTAATTCTTCACTGAACATATCAAGCCAGATCCT